TAGCACGTCTTCGTATATTCAGCTCTAAGACTGGATTGATCTGTCACAATACACTGGCTCCTGCCCTATGATGTATCCAGTAAAATATACTAATGTACACCCATTACCTGTTAGCATTAGTGTTACCCGATAATTACCTGAAACAAAATATTAGCACGCCCATGGCCGGTTCTTATCTCGGGGTTTTATTACTCTCTTTCATTTCCAAACAGAATATAGTTGTTCACTAGATATTGAGTATGTAACTCAAAGGTGGACGAAGCTTTAGTCCGCAGAGTATCTGTTTAACGATCAGTACAATATTAATGAATCATGTTTTCTTAGTGTACAATAACTTCAAAATCTCAATACCATGTACAGAAATATAATTCATGAGCTAAAAAACACAAAAAGAATATACATTTATAATATTTTTCGTCATCCCCTAAATTCATTTTTACAATTGCGCATGTCTTTAGATTAGTTTACTTGCTGTTTGCAGCAATAAGAATTACGCATTCGGTTCATATAAACTCGGGATTTTTTCTTGCATGTCGTAATAAATGCCGTGTAGGAAGCTAATAAATTTAAAATATCATAATGTGTATTGATTTTATTCCTTTATGAAAACTTAAAAGCGGCGCTGTTTCCCCGATATTTATTTAGGTAATCATTAGCAGAAGCAGCTCAACTGTTAGAAAAACAGTATAGACCAGGGATAGGCAAGTAATTTTAGGTGGGGTCCGAATACTTTTAAAAATTTTTAACCAGGTCCAGAAAAAAATTCATATTTCTTATTTTTTTATTTTAATTTAGACTCAAATTTAATCTGCTTACTAATTAAGAACTCAAAACACTCACATAATTGTAAAATACTAGAAAAAATTATAAGATTGGCACTTAAACATAAAAAACATTTTTAAAATAATTTATTTGAGTAATTTATACTTTCAAAAAATTTTTGGCGGTCCAGTATTTTACCTTCCGCGGTCCGGACCTGGACCGCGGTCCGCCAGTTGCCGACCCTTGGTATAGACTGTAATTTTTCAATTATTTGTGAGTTTATACATAGGAAGAACTAGAGCGTCAACTTTTATTTATAGCTTATGAATCGAATAAATATACATTATTAAATGTATTTTGAAAAATTTCAATTCCCTAATGCTGCAATAATTATAGCTAATGGCAAAACATATCGACTTATTCGTAAACGTACTTATTTTATAGTCCAATTATTAATACATTTTGTCATTGTGTAAAGTACCACTGTCGAGAAAAATCATTTATTTTTCACTTGGGCGTTATAGCTTGTTTATTACTAGGAAAAGGAACATATTGCTGGAATATTATCCATTCTGCCTTTTCAATATGTGTTCTCAGGATCAAACATCAAACTATCAAAATCAACAAATTTTCGAGTGTCATAGATACATCTTGGACACATCGTTTATATATTGAAAAACTGTTTTCATTCTCATTTACATTTAATTATTAAATTTATAATAAATATAAAATCAAGTAAAAAATAAAACGTTGTATGCACCACGGGAGATACTAGGATGATTATGCCCTTAGGCGACTGAGGGCATAGTCATCCCTGTATCTCCCTTGGTACATAAATAACTATTTTACCTGAATATGTTTTTCTTGTTAACTGTTTTCATACTTTACTATTAAACACTGTACTTGAAACTGCTCCAAAATCAAAATAAAAACTTGTAACAAAGACAAATTTTCTGGTAAAACATCCACTGACCATTATTTAAATTTGCGTTCTCCTTATTTGCAACATAGTCACCACATAACCCGCTTCTTATCCTCGAAACGAGCCGAATATGGAAAACGATTGTGATCTCACTAGTGATTAAGTCCGGGCGACGAGCAGGCTGACCAGATGACGCAAGTAGCAATGCACCCCATAATTTCAGTGTCTTCGGACGAGGTAGAAGACGACGTAGCCTTTAAGGTCCTGAACCAGGACAACCTGCCTATCAGCATAGTCGGCGAGACTATCCTAAAACCCTTCGGGAGGGAGCAGCAGAAGCTCAAGCCGAACGTGATAGTTCATCCGACGAGGAGGGTGGTCACCAACCTAGAGGAGAATAAGCAGAAACCGTTCGCCAAGTCCAACGGGCATATAAGTAACGCTGAGAAGAACCTGAAGAAGAATTTCAGCAACTCTCATGGGAACCTTAATAATAACACCAGCTCCACCAAGCTAAAGTTTGATGATTTGAAGAATCAGTTCACCAAAACACTAGGTAATTGTGATGAGCTCTTGGTTAAGAATTGTAGATACCAGAATTAAGTTGTCATTAATAGTATTATTATAAAAGCAGCTTATACGTAACTCAAACTGAATTACAGTTTAGTGTAATTTTAGATACTCCCAAAACTGATTTAAAATCCTCTAATTTTCCATAATTTCCAAATCTTATTTGCTGCAGATCTGCAACTTTATTTTATCACCGAAGTAATAACAACCATCTACGTATTGCATTGTAAATTCTTGGTACACTGTCTACAATTCTTCACCAACCATTGCTCCGCCTAGCCTGTCCCCTACAATATTTTTTTGGTCGAACTCAGATGCCAAACTACGGAGGCTGCAAAAAGAGGAAAAACAAAGCAAAAAGCCTCCGGTAGACACCACTTCATCCCGAAAACCATTCGTCACCACTGTGAAAAAGGGCCTGTTTCTAGAACCCCCATCTGAAATAGCAACCCTTATTGGCCTCAAACCTGAAGAACCAGTTAAAAAGGAATACAAGGAAGAAAAGAGGCTGTACGCGTACGCTAGTCAACCTAGAGTTTTGAACAGAACGCATTTAAAAGGACATCAGAATAGGTAAATATTTTTTTTTGGTTGTATACGGATACAATGAAGGAAAATGTAAATGTCTTTAATCACTGCCCAATAATTTTTTTCCTATAAATAATCTGTATTGGGTGAAATAGGTGTGAGGCTGCAGCTAAAGCGGCTGCTAAGCTCATAGGAACTGTAGTGGGAATAAAAAATGAAGAAAAGGAGAACACAATCAAGAAGCAAGAGTAAGTTAAGTGTTAGATTAAATAATTTTTTTGGTTCAGTGTAAAAATTTATTTCATTTAATCCCTTTGAGCAATTCGTATAAGATGATTCCTTAATTCTTTCCAGATATTAAAAAAAACAAAAGACAGCCTTATATCTCGAAAACGCAACTTTTTCGGGTATAGTTTATTATTTGTCAATTCTGAAAGTTTCCAAAAAGAAAAGTGAAACACTGTATACTTCTTTCAGACAATGAAAAGCATCTAGTCCACAGTACAGCCCCCCCCCCCCTGGAAAGTTGATTACCACATACTTTATAACTCCTGAGGGGCATCCTTTTGACAAGTCTACCACACTTTTCCTCTGCGACTTTTCTCGATTCCTCCGCTTTTCCATTCGGAACAGTCCAAAAACATGGCAATTTCCCGGGGTCTTGAAAAGTCAAAACCACATCTTTTATGTTTAGCTTCAGTTACTGGAAATTTTGTTGCAAATGCCGATTTAAATTTGTCCGACAGAAATTCTTCCGACATTGACGTGTCTACCGGCCGAAACACGCCGAAATAACAGGGTATTGAAAATCAATTGCCACATAGGTAATTTTTAGTAAAATTAATTGTAAATAATTAATTCAGTCAAAAAATATTGTTGTCCGACAAATTTCAAACCGTGTTTTTTCAGTCCGACAGCTGGAAATCGGAAATTTTCACGGGGTATGATAAATCGATTACCACATGTCGGACAAAAATAACACACGATAGAAAAGTGTTTTTTATAAGCAAAAATTGTAATTTCCGACACAAATATGTCCGCAAATCGTCAGTCCGACAAAAAATGACGAAAAAAATATCGTAAAAAATGTGAACATGTATTTATAATTTCGAATAAGGTATTTTCATGTATTAAGCAAAATTCCATATAAATATACAATGCAGGGTGTTTCAGAAAGAAAGACGGTGTATAAAATAAGTGACTTTTCTCAAAGCTCAAGCTTACTTTGAGAAAAGTCACTTATTTTATAGCGTAATATTGTAAGAGTTTAATTAAAAGCCTTTTTTCTCGAAAATCGTTCACATTAGGAAGTTCTAACAAGAGTACATTATTTTTAGAAAATAAAATTGTACAATAGAAATTGGAGCCCGAATGGTAAAAAACCTAACGTTAAAAAAAAAATAGAACTTAAAATGTAATAAGAATGTAGCATAACTAGCGCCCTCTATGCAATATACAAAAAATAATTAGACTAGCGTATTTGGCACCCTTAAAAACCCCGGACTACCAAATTTCATAAAAATATTTCGCACCGTTTCGTTTGGAAATTTTCGTAAACATTCTAAAATTTAAAAATTTTTATTATGTCTCTATCTCAAAAACAAGAGGATATAGACAAATAGTTCATAAGACAAAAAAATTCTCATTTTTTGTCGTACTATCATCCCGTTTATTTACGAGAGGCCTTTCTGAAACACCCTGTATATATTTTTCGTTTTATTCTTGTAATTGTAAATATCTTATGCTCAATCATCCAAATAAATATTGAGAAAAGAATTAAACGATTTCAAAAAAGTATGTATGGTGTCAAACAATTATGCACAAAAGTTTTGGGATTTGCTTTTAGAAAAATAGGAAAATATTTGTAGAAAAATAACAAACGCGAATGGAAACTTGAAAGACAAAAAAAAGGATTTTTATATCAAGTATAACATTAATTTATTTAGAAATAATGCATTATGCACTAAGATCGTATTAATCGCCTCAAAAATAACNTTATTTTCTCGATCCTAACCATTTTTAAGAGCAATATTCACGTTTGATTAAAGTTTTTTCCCAACTCCCATAAGAGCCTGTGTAAAAGAGCATAATTTTTAAATTAATTTTTCAAAAAAACTACGTTGTCAATCGATCTGATATTTTTACACAAGTCAGTTTGCATATTTATTAACAGATTTCAATTGCTTTGAAAACATTCTTACCATTTTTCTTTTTGTATCGAACCTCCTTAAGTAATATTGGTATCAAAGTACCGTGACTATCAGCTAGAAGTAATAATGTTCTTAGTCTACCCGCAGCACGTAGTAACATTCTACTCTATTCTATCAAATTGTTTACAAGTACAGTAAGATAGAAAATAATGTCGATCTTTTTTGTTGTTTGCCTAATGATATAAAAAATGCTTTACTTATGTAGGCAGATCTGTCTTTTATAGTTTGTTGCATTTTTATTTTGTTCTTTATATGTGTGTTATTTGTAAGTTTGTACTATTTTTTTCTCTATTTTTCATAGTTTATTTTTCTCTCTTTTAACTTTTTTTAAATTTTATTACTAGTCTTAACATATCTTGTTATTGAGCATCGCCTGCTATTTAAAATAAATAAAATAAATAAATATTGAAAAACGGACTCATTTGCTTATATCGATTGTTTTTGTTGTGTATTCTGATTTCTCATCTCTACATTCTAAAATTTTGGGAATGGAAAATATAGTCAATATCGTAAAAAAATTTTTTTGTAAAATCGTTATAATTTCCGTGGAAAAAAATATTGAATTTACAATTTACAACGCTTACATCGCTGGGCTACTCTAGCGTCTTTCCCGTTGTGCGCTATACAGAATGCGCTCTCTCTCCACGTGGACCCAGACGATTCCGAATACTGAAATCCGTTTTTAGTATTAACGTTTTTGCGATAGTGTTTACATTAGTTTTTCAACTGTCAAAAATAGCCTACGTGTATAGCAACTCGGAGTTGAGCCTTGAGCAAGGTCAGGTTTTACAGTGGATCAGTTTCCAGTGCAGTGCAGGAGGGTATTTTTAAATTATTTTCGAACTGCCCTTTTTGATTTTTTTTGCAAAATTGTATTCGTAAGATTCCCCTGTAGATTCAAAACTTTTTTTTGGATAAATTCTGAATCACCCTGTAGAATTAGGGATGCATTATTATCCTTATAGCACCCTTGATACCTTGATAATTTCTATAATCCAAAATGGACAAGTGTTTCAACTGACTTTTAGTACCTACATCGATATTTCAGCCGCAAACCTGGTGTATTTACAAAGAAACCTCATTCATCACACGGCTCATTGTCGTCGAAAATTTCGTAAGCCGCCGTCAGGGCAATCGATATTCGTACCTAAAGCGTTTCTCAGGTGTTACATTAAGAATAACATTAAAAATCCCGGCATACATAGCATGCGCCACATAGCCGACGTCATGCACGTCTGCTGGACAGCGGTCAGTTAACCAAACCCGCCCAAGGCATCGCGACGCTCGCACCACGACGCCGTCCTGCCGGTCCTCTGTATGATATGTGACTGAAACGTGCTGAAAACCAACCGACGGTCGCTGGTATCGCCGCTTTGTTTTTTGTCTGTTGCTTTTTCTGTTCCGTACAAAATGGGACGGGCGTAGCAGTAAGTAGTTTTTGATGAGGCGTGGAAGGCAGCAATCCATAAGTAATTATACTTTAATTTCTTTCAGACTATACCGAGAATTCGTGCTATAGCTATATTTTTTTTTTGAATATCGATTGGTCTCACGTGGTTTTGGCAAGTATTCTCGGTTGAACTTACCACGTGTGATGTACTACGAATGTTCAGCAAAGTTTATAGTAGAAAACGATGAAATACATTCCAATAATACCCCCGTTAATAAATACATTTATCCTCATTTCGAATGCCAAAATGGTTAATTGTATTCCTGAATCGTATAAGGCATTATTTGCGACTACAATGTTAAGTTTAAAGTCAGTAGAGTTCAGTACCCGAGTCTAATGTAAAGTTTTGTATAGTTTTCTTCGTTACACTTCTAAAACCGATATACGAAAAATTTCTTGTTAAATCCATGGAATTGTTTTAAATTACCAAATTGTTTATAGACTGTAGTAGATTTGTACTTTAACAAATATTTGAAATTTCTATATTTATTACCTAAATTCATTTACTACTCTGTTATTACTTATGGATTGTATTTTATTTATTTTTAAACGATTTGCCAGAAAATTTGTCGCATTATATTAAATACAGCCAAACCCTCTGTACTATTAAAATGCTTTAAAAATGTGATGAAATAGTAAATATTTTTTCCGGTTACTTTTTAATTAATTTTGATATATTTTGAAAGATCTAATTTGAAAACGGTTAAATAGCTAACCCATAGAGTAAAATTCAAATGATTTTAAATATACACTCATAAAAATTTTATGTAAAATTATATTCTATATCATTGGTTTTTTTTAACGCCACATTGTACATACAAAGTTACCCACAATATTAATTTAAAATATAAATTTTATTAATAAACAGTAAAACAACATACACAGCAATTTTAAGAAGGAAACCTTAAAGAGTAGTATTGGACAGGAAATATAGAGTTGGACGCGACTTTTTGTTTCGGCAAGCTGAATTTATCACTATAGATGCTAAATATTATAATAACATATTAGATTCCACAGTCATAAAATTGTTTAAATGTGGTTAAATGTATAATTTTTACGTAAATTCACGTTTTTCGCTTATAACTTTTTTCCGTTCATTTCCACGAAAAAACAGTAGAGTACATTTTATTTCGTCTTCAAAAAACCTACAAAACTAGCGAGCGTCAAAAAATATTGATTAGATCAAAAGTTATAAACAGAAGAAGTTTATTTATTACTTTTGAATTAAACGTTTATAAACTGCGTTATTATTACCAGAACGTTTTGGCATCGCATCGTCTCATTTCTTATCACTGTCTAATAACTCACACGAAATCTGGAATCGGTAAGCTGAATAGTTTACAAGTTATGGCCTTACAAACAAATTAACTAATTTATTGGTCTGGGCGATCCCGAGCACCTTCCACAATCGCACTGATTTTTTTCATGGTAGATTTCATAATAATCATTTTTTTTTTTCAATTTCAAACTTGCAACCTGGAAATTTTTTTTATTTTTTAGCTTTAGTTGCAAAATGAAATATACGACGCACGAGCGTGATATAGTTGTATATTTTTACATATTCGGAAAGCTTATGAAAAGAACTTTT